TCTGATATTAGATGAGAAATATTGTACTATCATGATTATAGCATTTGGAAAACCATCTGAGAATATGAAAAGAATATCGTTGTCTTTGTTCAATAAAGAAAACTTGTCTGAGAGTTTTCTGCTTAAATATCCAGCTACCCATGAACTCTTCTCAATATTGATTCTTTCCATTCTGTAACTCGGTTTTATTTATTTTTTATTTACTAGTTTATTTATGCCATAAAAAATAATGGCATGTTTTGTAAAGTCCTATTATTAAAAGGTTTTCTCATGTGAGTCTTTAAATATATTTTTAACAATAACAAATATGTAGTAGTTCTGGAGGGAATCAGTTTATCACAGAAAATCCCCCCCCCTTATGTCCATTAGAATCTTCTATAATGCTGGTAAGTGAACAGATGTGAGCTGGTTTACTCATACCATAAAAAAAGAATGACAGCATATTTTAAATCCTTGCCATTTATGACTAGTAGTTAAGATGATATGTTCTTCATTACAATTGGTCCCCCAAAACAGACAAAAACTAATATATATATATATATATATATATATATATATATATCACACATATTGTGCTGATGTTAATAAAACAGTGCCCGATGTAAGAAAACAGAGCTATTAAGTATATATTAATAAATGTACATATTATCTTTCACTGGTAGCACAACTTGGAGTTTCTTCAGGTGCTGAGTATAAAGAAATAATTCATACAAAGAATTAGCAATGTTAATGTGATAAATGATGAAATCACTTCGCTAACAAGACTTAATGAGACATTAGCTTAACCTTCTATGAATAATACAATCCTTATATTAGAGTTGTTATCAGATGGAATTGACATGCCAAGTACTTTTGACAATTTCAAAATGTCATCTTCGGGGGCACAATTTTTCCATATACAGGCAAAACACTGAGACAAAATACATGTAGTGTATTCAAAAAAACGTATTTTTAAAATATGCTATTTATTGACAGTCATATTATTTTGCAGCATGCGATGACATGACAGATCTTGTTCAAATCAGTCAAGTGAGAATATTGTTTGAATTTTGTAATGTGATTAATCCATGAAATTTTGTTGTTATATATGTTTTCAGTTAAAGTGGCATGAACTTGAGTATATAATTTATATATTTTATATATATATATATATATATATATATATATATATATATATATTAATTAAGTGGTTTATTTACTATTTGTACCTGACAAGTTGGGAAGCCATATATATAATATGTATGTGTGTAAAATTTCATATAGAATATATCTGTAAATGGACAATATGAATAAAGGTAAAAGGAAAACTTAGCTGATGCATTTCATCTTCTGATGGAATAAATTCAAGAATTTTATTTTGTAACAAATATTTATAAAATGAGCAAAAAATGTAAATTGTAAATTTAAGAAATGCTCATAGATATTCATCAGGTTAGGTAAAAAGTCTAGGTAAGTTATGGAGGATGCTGAGTGACATAATTTAATATCTAATAAACAAAAGTGAGTTCTTGGAATTTTATATTCAAATTAGAATTTAAATTATTTGAGTTTGGGATGTGTTATATATTTTAAATAACATGAAGTTATGAATTTAATTGTTTTAATTTTTAACATTTTTCTAGTCATGAATGTTGACTTGGGAAAGACGTAATTCTTTCAGGAATGGAGATATTTGAAAAAAATCCAGGATGCAGATTTATATTTTGATAAGAATCAATAGCGGCACTTTTGAGAATTTTACTTTCTGTTTTAATAAGTGTGGTATTCTTCAGATCAAAGTTGTGGTTGAGTTTATTTCTATGTATTCAGAATTATTATTGTTATGGGTATTTTTGTTTCTGTTCATATCCATAAAACTCTTTCGGATTTAATTATTTTGGATAGAGGATGTTATGAAGTTAGTAGGTAGTATTGTGTGTCTGTTTGTGATTATTGTTAATAATGTTATTTTTTCTGGTTGTATATTTTGTATGCCTTTCTTTTAGCATTGTGCGTTAAATAATAAGGATATTGGAAGTTTTTGAAAGTGTTTTCAATGTATATTTCTTTTTCAGGTAAGTATTGGGGGCTGTATATTCTTAGTGCTTTTAAATAGAATCCTATAATTATTCTAGATTTAATCTTGTCATTGTGGTAGAAATAAAAATTGATAGTCATTCTTGTTGGTAGAATTTCTGTAAAGCTCCAACTGAAGTTTGTTATTGTTTCTATGTAGCATGATATCAAGGAAGGGTGAATTGTTGTTAGACTCAGATTCAAAGGCAAATTCTATTGCAAGTTTGATGCTATTAGGTTTGTTGACAAGATCGGGTAAAATTGTGTTTTTTAGATATATTAATAGAGAATCATCTATGTATCTAAAATAACAAGAATGTTGTGGTAAATTATTCTTGAAAGGACCACTTTCCAAAAATTCCAAAAACAGACAAACCAAAACACTACTAAAAAGAGACCCTATCAGTAAACCAAATTTTTGGTCTATAAAAATTATTATCAAAGGTGAAAAAACATTGATTAGTGATTAAATGGCACATTTTTATGATCTTATGTGTAGGCATATTTTTGTTTAAATAGATTTAGACATTTCTTTTAGGAACATTGTGTATAAAGATTTCATAGCTAAACTATCTATTTCCACTGGATATAGACAGATAGGATCTAACCAACATGGATAAAAACATTGGTTAGATCCAGTGACTAGACCAAAAAGAGTTGTAAGTTCAATACCAGGCCGCAGCAGTGGTGAACCAAAACTTGGAGAGAAAGGGAAATAACTGAGGCATCCAGAAGAAGCATGATACAAGGAACTAGAACAATCTACCCTGATGGATGAAATAAAGGGTTCGTTTGAAATTCCAATTAACTGAAGAAGGCTGGAGCGTACAATGGCTGAAATGTTGTGAATATGGTAATGACGATAAAGATAACAGTCTGAATAATGTAAATAATACAAATATATCTAAACTAGATACCATAATTTCTTGAAAATAATAAGCACCCCAACAAATGATCCAAAAATTAAAAATATATCTATCCCTATGTATAATACGCATCTATAAATTTTGTCAAAAATAAATAAAAAAATAATTCCAAAGACATTTTGTCGACCTTGACATTAAGAATGATATCAAAACTAAGCAGTTAAAATAATGTTGAAAATTACCGTGCGGTTTTCTCAATAAATGTCAGTGTGGATGTTATAAAGAGAGGTTTCAAGAAGTGTTGTCCCACAACGGACATGGATGGTTCTGAAGGTGACTTCCTTTGGCAAGAGAATGAACAGGCCGAAGATAATATTGTGAATGGTAATTTGTTTAGCGACAAATATTGATTCTGTAATAGAAAGTAGTGATGATGATGAAAATTAAAATTTCAATAAATTGTTAACTTGATATCCTCTATTCTTCAAAATTGGCCTTTTTAAAGATTTTTTTATTTTTTCAAAAAATAAATAATGCGGTTACTGATAAACATAAATTTATTGACAAAAAATGTTACAATTATTATTGTCAGATTTAAAATGAAAATTGGAATAATATCTTTCTTATTTTAAAACAACAAGTACATATTTATTATTATGAATCAATAAGGAAAAAAATATTTTTGTTTCAACCTATTTATAATATGCACCCCAACTATCGCCTGTAATATACAGTTAAAAAAAAAATGGGTATTATTTTTGAGAAATTACTGTATATAATGATTTTTAATTAATTTAAAATCACCAGAGTTGTTTTTTTTATATTCGAGAAGCTAGAGGTGGAGTTAAAATTTTGGTTAGTGTGCTGGCTAGTTTATGTAAGGAGCTGCCTATTCCCAATATAATCATCAGGATATCTGGTTTATGTATTTTTGGTCATCTGTAAATATAAGTATTTTTAGGTGATGTTCAATGAGTTTTAGCCAGAAATTGTTTTCATTTTTTTTTTAGTAATTTCTTGGTTTCATTTTTAAATTTTTGTGTCTCTTTTATGACCTTCTGTTCATTTATTTCTTTCTAAATATTTGAGTGTTTCCTTAATTTAAAAATTTTGATAAACTAACAACATTTTTGCTCTTGTCTATAAATACATATTACAAATAGAACCCTTGCATTTGCCTTGATAAAATCCCTCAGAGGACAGAATGCATTGATTAAGAAAAGTTTTCTTTTTGTCTGTATTTATATATATCTCATTTTTATTATAAAAACATGTTGAAATCACTACACAAAAGGTTTAATATCTGTCTATATTTCTGAGATGAGGTATTATGAACACTATTTACATTATTCGGACTATTGTCCTCATCTTTGTCTCCATATTTATTACAATGTTTCAGCTGTTGTATGCTCCGGCCTTCTTCAAGGTCACATGGCACAGTGGATAAAGGTGTTGGTTAGATCCAGTGACAAGACCCAAAGAGTGTGAGTTCAATACCCGGTGAAGGCAGTGGAGAACTTGGAGAGGGGAATCAACAGGAGATAACTGATAACTGACATCCATTAAACATGGCATGTGGAAGTAGAACAGTCTACACCAGTGAGCGAAATAAAGGGTTCATTTCGACATTGCAGCCACCTGAAGAAGGCTGGAGTGTATAACAGACAAAACATTGTAATAAATATGGTGACAAAGATGAGGACAATAGTCCGAATAATGTAAAAAGCTTTAATGTTTCAATACTATAATTGTATTTGTTCAGGCGATGGTAAGTAACTGGTGATTAAATGATTTTTAAGAAAATTTAAAAACAAAGTGTTACCTCTTTTCCAAAAGTTAAAGTGGTGGGGGTGCATAAGGTCAGAATTAAAAATAGACTTGTGGGTGTGTCTTGATTAACCAATTAAATGTCAGATCTACGCTAAATAGAAAACTACGGTCAGAAAGTGGAGGTGCGTGAGTTATTTTTTCATGTCATGATAAACCAGGTCATAGGAAACATATTTTCTATAATCGTCAATGATGGCCTGTCTTTGGATGTTTTATTTTACTAAATGATTTTTTTTATCTCTTTTTCAGGGGGTGAAGGTAAACCTGGTAAAGTGAAGGATATCCGTGGCTGGGACTCGGAATCTGGACGCAGTGTGGCCAATGTGATATGGAGCAATAGCCAAATGAATGTCTACCGGGTCGGACACAAGGGCAAAGTTGACCTAAAGGCTATCCAGGTTGCCTCAGGGGGCATGTTTTATCGTGATCACTTGCCTGTTCTAGGTAAGTTATTGCCAAGAATCAGATGGAATTCAGTGTCTTTTTAGTTTTGCACAGTATCATGAGATATATTGGTAAACTTGAACAGACATTACTAGCTGCAAGTTATTAAGTAGAAGAATGAGGAATCCATTTGTATGTATTTGATGAGTGAGGAACAGTGTTTTTTTTTTGCCTCTGTACTATTAAATCCCAAACAATACAATGCCCAGTGGCCATTCAAGATAAAGGGATACAGTTGAAATGGTAATGATAAATGTGGTGTGTGATCTGAATGGTAGTGACGGTATTAGGAAGTGAAGATTATAAGGAAGAAAGTTAACGATTGACCTTCGACTTGAAGATTTGAAGCATTCTGGGAAGTAACCATGCAGGAACCTGTTCCATAAAAAGGCAATTCTTGAAAAAGCCATTTGTGTGGAATATCTTCCACAATGCTGCATAAATGATTTTGAACTCCATTAACCTCTAACATTCTGGAGTTGATTTTGTTTGCAAAACAAAAGTTTTATCCTGCCACTGCAAATGACTCAGATGAATGAATAATAGCATGTTTGAATTTTGTAGTTGTGTTGTCATATCCTGCTATGGCAACAGAAAATGACCATAACTGAAATTAAGTAGTGCAGTAGAGGAGCCTTGAAAACTGATACAGTGGAAAGGAAAGTAGTGAATAATGCAGTGTGTTAAAGGTTAAGGCTGGAAAGTGAAGTTATCATGTCAGGGGCAGTTTACTCATCAAAGCTAACTCAGAAGTTGCACTCATTTTTCTTGTATTATTTCTAATTACTGTTCACATCTTGCTTGATATAAATGTTTTTATAGACACAACGTTTCGACCAAGTACCCCCTGGTCATCATCAGGTGTCTTTATCCCTGTGATGATAGCATAGTGAATATAAGAGTTAGTTATACATGTGTTATTATCATCTAGTGGTTATGAGTTCAATCCTTGGATCAGTTAAAAAAAATAGCTTATGATGCCACAAAAAAAAAAATTACAGCATATGATTCTTAGAATAATAATCTGCTGAGCTTCCCAACCTTGTTGGTTTATTTATTTTATATAATCTTAGTGCATATGCTGATATTAACATTGATTATATAGGGTTATATAGAGATAATAGCTGTATGTTAGTGAAAAATTCCACTAAAATTAAAGCTGACAAAATTAGGAAATTAAAACAGAATTTAAAAATAAAAAATAAAATTTATTATCACTACAAAAAGTAGCACAAATAATTGTATTTAAATCTGTATTGAATATACAAGATGGTGCTGAAAAGTTCTTAAAACAAACAAGTAAATTTTCAGAACGGTCTACTCCAGGGGATGAAATAAAGGGTTCAGTTTGAAATTCCAATCACCTGAATAAGGCCAGAGTATACAATGGCCGAAACATTGTGAATATGGCAATGAAGATGAGGATAACATTTTGAATAATGTAAATAATCATAATAACTTATCTCAGAGATATAAACAGAAAAAATAAATGTTGACAATTGATAAAGAAAAAAGAATTTACCTTTTTTATTTTTTTTTTCTCAAGTTGGTATCAGTTTCTTGTGTATTTTAGACAAAAATAACGATGTTAAATTCAGGTTACAAATTAAGTCAGACCTCATTTAATATTTAAATGGGAATTTAAGATTTTTTCTAAAATTCATTTTCATCTTTTGACCTTATAGAAAAACACAACATCATTGACCCGAATTAAAGTCAACAACGAAAAATATAAGAAAAATTAATAAAAGCTACATTTAAATAAATTTAATAAATTTTGCGGTTTGCTGGTGAAAGAAGAATTTTGAAAATTTCTCTTTTAATTTCAGGTCAGTGTCTTGAATCAAATGTTTCTGGAGGGGTTCCTTGTCAGTTCAAAATTGGAGATCGGGTTCGTGTGGATCTAGATGTTGAAATTTTAAAAGTCATGCAGGAAGGACACGGGGGCTGGAACCCTCGAATGGCTGAGGTAAAAGATCTTATTTCTTATAGCTCTACAAAATGCAGCAGAAATACCTCCTACATAATGGTAAGACATTAGTTAAATGAAGACACCATTGACATTAACATCTTGCCATTATATGGGTGGTATTTCTGCCATGTTCATTATTTAACAAAACCATGACAGTTTATCATGTTTCTGGCATTGTTGTTTTCTTTCTTCTCTAACCAAAGAGTTCGCTGTATGATCATTCTCTTGTTTAATAATAAAATCCTGGTGATATACTCCTAAAATAAAATTTATTATCGCTACAAAAAGTAACATAAATAATTGTAATTAAATTTGTATTGAATATGAAGATGGTGCTGAAAAGTTCTTAAAACAAACAAGTAAATTTTCAATACCCCACATCCTTTAATCATTGTTAAAGTGAAAGATTTTTATTTATTTATTTGGGAGGGTTTGTAAGAAAACCAAAACAAAAAACTACCAGCAAAACATTAATTTTACTTTTGTATCTACTGTTTCAATTTGTGATTTATTGAGTAAACAAAAATGTCACAATTTTGCCATAATAAAAACTGCTGCTTTATTTTTTATCTCAAGCAAGCAAACTGTGGTGATTTTAAATACATTCTAATCCAGGTTTCTTGAGAATGATAACATTATATATATATATATCCAAATGGGAGAAAGAACAGATGGAATAAATCCAGGGATCTTTTTACTTTGACTTTGGAATTTACCAGAGAGTACTCTGATCTTTCCAACAAGGAGCTTGATATTACTATGAACTGCAGAAGATCAGTTCTTATTCATAACAAAGAACAGTGGATTAAGAACGATTCTATTGATAAATTTTGATAATTTTCATGGGATCATTAGATTCTGCTGAGTTTTCTGACCTTGTTGGTTTATTTATTTTATATAATCTTAGTCCCTATGCTGATATTAACATTGATAATATAGGGTTATATAGAGATAATAGCCATATGTTAGTGAAAAATTTCGCTAAAATTAAAGCTGACAAAATTAGGAAATTAAAACAGAGAATTTAAAAATCTTAACCTTAAAGTTAAGATCAACACTAATTTAAAAAAAGATTTCCTTGATGTTACATTAGAGCTAGTTAATAATGTATTCCAAACCTATATGAAAACAAATGCCAATCAAATGTACATCCACCCGGATTCTAACCACCCTCCATCCGTAATCAAACACATACCCTCTTCTATAGAATATAGGGTTAGCACTGACTCTCTCAGTGAAGATTTCTTGTACAAGCATAGTAAAGTTTACAACACTGCCTTAAAAAATAGTGGCTATAAGTGCACTGACATCAAATATATAAAACATAACAACAGCGATTGTTGAAATAAGAAGAAACAGGAATATCATTTGGTACGCACTCCCATTTAACCAAATGGTTAGTACTAAGTTAGTTCAGAAGTTCCTCCATTTAATTGATAAACACTTCCCCTGAAATAATCCACTCTGTGAAATTTTTAACAGAAATACGCTAAAACTAAGCTATAGCTGTACTGATAATCTTGAAAAAATTATTAAAAAACATAATAACAAAATTTTAAACCAATACAAAAACCTGAGTAATAATAGCCATCCCAAAGCAACAAACACTGACAATACCAACCAGTGTAGTTGTAGAAATTCTAACAAATGCCCATTGCAAAACCAACGTCAAACTGGCTCTCTTGTTTAGCTAAGTACTATTTCTACTATAGAAAATCCAACAATTAAAACATTTTATATTAGAAGTACTAAGAATTCTTTTAAATCTAGGTGGTACCAACATATATTATCTTTCATCAATAATGCTTACAAAAAGATGACTTTCCTTTCTAAATATGTTTGGGACTTACAAGTTAACAAAACCCCCATGGTAAAATGGAAATCACTAAAAAAAGCTGGAACTTGTAAATCTTTAAATGAACCTGGCTTCTTATGCTTACATGAGAAACTAAAAATTGTTTGATTTGCTGACAAAAAAAAATTTCTATTAAACCAAAGAAGTGAATTAACTGTAAATTGCTGAGACAGTTTATCTTTTACCTTACAATATAGTTAAATTTTGAAAACTAGGCACTACCATTTCTTATGACCATAATTTATAAGTAAATAACAGTCCACCCTCTATGAGTAATTATCTTACTTTATTTATTCAGATTTAGTATTGCTATGTATTGCTGTCCAGTTAGTATTATTAATATCTTATATAGATGTTCCACTTTTTTAATTTTATCTACAGGTTCCTTTAAGAAGCTTCCTAAATAGGACATTTCTTTTTTTTTAATTTTTTCTGTTGAAATTTACGCCTGATTATATATCCTCCTACCCTTCCCCTCAGTGTCCTTTGAAAAATTGAACATGTATTTGTCTACAATCATGAGACATTTGCTACTTACATGTTTTCCGCAAATGTCAATGATGACCTGTCTAAGTTCTGGTTTATAATGTCATGAAAAAATAACTTCCCTATCTCCACCCGCTGAGCTTAATTTTGTATTTAGCATAGATCTGACACTTAATTGGTTATTCAAGACAAAGCCACAAGTTTATTTTTAATTCTGACCTTGTGTCCCCCCACACTTTATCTTTCGGAAAAGAGGTAACACTTTGCTTTTGAAATTTTTTAAAAAATCATTTAATCACCAGTTACTTACCATCGCCTGAAGAGGCACAAAGTACTGAAACACAAAAACTATTGTGTAGCCATTTCAACACATTTTTGTTCTAATGTCTTATAAAAAAAATAATAATATATATATATATATATATATATATATATATATATATATATATATATATATATTATATCATGTCATATATCATAAAGAAGTAATTTATACAAAGACTTAATTAGCAATGTTAATGTGATAAATGGTGAAATCACTTCACTAACAAGACTTAATAAGATATTAGCTTACCTTCCTTGAATAATACAATCCTTATATTAGAGTTGTCAGATGGAATTGACATGCCAAGTACTTTTGACCATTTCAAATTGGCATCTTCGGGGCATAATTTTTCCATATACAGGCAAAACACTGAGACAAAATACATGTAGTGTATTCCAAAAAATATATCTTTAAAATATGCTATTTATTGACAGTCATATTATTTTGCAGCGTGCGATGCCGTGACATTAGAGATCTTGTTCAAATCAGTCAAGTGAGAATATTGTTTGAATTTTGTAATGTGATTAATCCATGAAATTTTGTTGTTATATATGTTTTCAGTTAAAGTGGCATGAACTTGAGTATATAAGTATTATTTTTTATATATATATATATACATTCAATTTAAATAATTAATAATTGCTCTGATTTGACATTGAGCTCTTTGGATTACATCCTCCTTGTGATTATCCATATGGATTGCCAAACTTTTCATTGCTATATATATATATATATATATATATATATATATATACTAGCAGCTGTACCCAACTTGTCAATTAGAAAAAGTGTTCAATTAGAATTGAGCAAAAGCAGTATCATATTTAGATGTAACAAAGTCTATCTTCTTCAATCACTTTAAAGTACTTTCATTAAAAACATTCTGAATTAATGCAGTTACTGATATAACAGAAGTAGTAGGTATTTATTCAATCGAAGTTAGCTGAGGACATGAAGGGGTAAAACGGGCAACATGAAGACCCACTTCAGACCACAATTATTTTGGAGTTTGTCAGTGTGCTACCAGGGATGTTAAAGTGGCTACATTTATAAAGCAATTAAGTTTGATGAAAATTGGTTGAAACATCAAAGAAAAATAAGAAAGAAACCAGTAAAAATCACCATTTTTCGCTGTATGGGTGGTCTTAATTATCACGTTAAATGACTGTTAAACAATCAACTTATTGGTGGTTACAATTGATTGAAGTTTGTATTTCATTACTTGAAAATTGAGGGAGTTTTTAATTTAAAATTTGTGTTGAAATCGATTTTTTGCTAAATGCAGTGGCGTAGAACTAAAAATGAGGTATCATTGAGCTTGTCATGATGTAAGTAACCTACAAACTGAATTTGAGTGAAATTGGAGGAAAAAAGTTGAATTTATTGATTTTTGATCAGCTTTATTGATTTTTGAAAATTATCAATTTTTTTACACTAAGAATCTATCTCTTACATCATACAATGTATGTGCCAAGTTTGGTCAAAATCGGTCAGATGGAGCTCAAGTGAAAAGGTATCACACAGACTGACAGACATCCTCTGTTTTAGTGTATCAAAAATACTTTTACAAACTTTGGGGGCAGGTTTGTTACACCAAACCAGGATAAAAGTCCACATAAGCATATGTCTGCAAATCCTTTATTTTTGAGTTAAGTTTAAAGAAAGTTTACAGTAGATGGTGCTGTGTTGCCTTGTAGACTAGGTTACATTTGTCATTTGTGTACATTTTTGGCTAGTCTGTCTTCAGTGTTTAACGTGTAGTAGTGAGTTAACATATATAGGGTCTTTTGTCCTCTGTTCAATGACCACAAGAGAACTTTTTCTAATTGTTTATTGCACAAACTGCCAATCTGTTGTTTGTCTCTTTGGTCTTATTTATGGATGAGGCAACATTTGAAAGAGATGGAATAACAAATTACTCAACTAACATTGGTGGGTGGCTCGGAATCCCCAGTGATTGGGCTGGAATTTGTATGTGACTGTTTGGTAGGTTCATATGTTCTCCAAACACATCTTACAGGATCTGTCTACAGGGACTTTATTTCAAACACACTTTCAGAACTGCTAGAGGATGTACCTTTGTTAATATGAAGATGCATGATGAGGCTTCAGCACATTTTAGTCACATTGTTCATGATGCACTGGCTGACATCTACCATGAAAGATAGATAGGTAGGAGGGGAGGACCAGTTCCATGGTGTGCACATTCCCTGACCTCAGTCCTTAGGATTTTTATCTGTAGGGCCACCTAAAACAATTGGTTTATGCAACAGACATTAATAATGCAGAGACACTTCAGGGTCAGCCATAATTGATCCATGGTCCAGTACCACATTTCCTCTGCAAATTAGACTCTTGATAAAATATAAAGAATGTTATTGGTCTTGACATAGCATTTCAGCTTCAGTTACTTTCCCACTGCTGTAATGTAACTTCCCTGTGCCTTTTCTATAAATATTTTCATGGTAATTCTTCTGATGAACATTCCTCTTTGGTACCTCAACTTTAAGAATTTAAGAGCAGTAATAGATTGGCAGCAATATTTCATTATTTTACTGTTGAAATGGCTAGATGTAACCGTAAGTTCTATGCTAACAGTTTCTTTTCTCACATTTCTCACTTGTGAAACCCTCTTTTGGCTTACTCACACTCAGTAACATTTTGTGTTGTAATGGCTTTATTGCCTTGTTTACGGTGAAATGATTAAAAAAAAAAAAAAGTCAGCAGTGCCATCTAGTTTGATCAACCATCCACTCCAAACATCCAACCATGAAAGGGGACATAACTCACACCATCTTTCATTTTGGGAAGAACATCAGTTAACAGTGGAGATTAATCTTTCTTTCTTTTTTTTTTTTTTTTTAAATTAATCGGTATCATCCCAAGCAAGGTAGTACAGCCACTAGCACATAAGGGGTTACAGGGTGTGGAGGAATTAGGAATGAAAACATTAGTAATGAAGAGAAAGAGAAAAGAGCAATCAGGAGGGAAGTAGACAGCGATTGATATTGCATTTAAATTTTTGCAGATTAAAGTTGTTTGGAAAGCATGGAGACAGAAGGGATTTCCACAAGCGAGAAGTGCAAGAAAAGAAACTGTTAGCATAGAAGTTACAGCTATATCTAGCTAGCTCAACTGCAAATTGAAGAGATCTTGTCGCCAGTCTAGTATTTTGCTTAAATTCATACAGTCTACATACTATAGTGAAGAGCTCATCCAAATAATTACCATGAAAGTATTTATAAAAAAAGGCACAGAGAGGCAACCTTATGCCGGTGGGCAAATGACTGAATCTAAGCTGCCAGATCAGGACCAATAATATTGCTGATTTTTCTTTGGATCTTATCAAGGAGCACCAGAAAAATAACAAGGGCGCCAGACCATATATAACAGCAATATTCTCAGCATTGATAGACTGGTAGACTTAGAGATATACAAGATAGATTATGGAGAAAAAACTTTTTTTGCCCGACACAGTGACCAACTTAGCAGATGATGTAGTGATGGAGTTAATGTAATTTTCCGCCTTGTGTCAGCTGAGAATGTTAGCTTGAGAAGGAGCAATGGGTTACTTACTTGGATGGTCACTCAGATGATTAATGGAAAGAAATTTAGTTTTGGTGGCATTAAAATTGACAAGCCATCTTTTGCCCCATTTAACGACGGTCCTGAGGTCGTTTCGTATATCAGCTACCATTTTGACCTTGTCTGACTAATCAACCGTACTATCACAGCAGGAGTAAATAATGGTGTCATCAGCATAGATACCAAGTTGAGAGCTGATGTCATCGAGAAGGTTGTTAATGAAGATTAAAAACAGCGTAAGACCAAGGATAAAGTTGCGGAGGGCACCCATGTTCCTAAGAAAAGATGTAGATGAGTAGCCATTCAGGATAACTTTCATTTTACAATTTGATAAGAATGACTGGATCAGCTCAAATATGTGTCTGGAGATACTGTAGCTTTTCAGCTTGTGGAGAAGACCTGAATGCCAGTCCCTGTCAAAGGCTTTTGAGATGTTCATTGCTACAGTTCGAGCTTCACCATTTTAAATCTAGAGCATGATAGATTCTTTCCACAATTATCATTAATACATCAGCAGTTGATCTTGTGAAATGAAAGTTGTAATGCTTGTCTGAGAAAAGGTCCTTTGATGTGAAATGATGACCCAATTCAGTATTGATTAGGGCCTGTAGGAGTTTCCCAAAAAGAAGCAGAAAGCTAATATTTTGAATGGGTCAGATGGTTGACCAGAGTTCTTAAAAACTGGAACAGATGGTGACTTCCAGCAAGCAAGAAAGCAGAAGGCATTTATTATACAATTTAGAGGCTATGCAGTGCCTCATTCTCTCAGCAAATAGGGACTTAGCTTCTTCAAGGACTTGCTTACATTTGTTACAAGCAGTAGCAAATAAGCACCTGTTATGACAAGAGCTGTCATGCTGGTTCCTGTGTACTATGGTGGCTGGACATGCTGGAGTGAACCATGGAGAGGACCATGGTTTCACCTGGTAATTCTTTGACCTAAGAAGAAACCTCAGTGGAAAGAAAGAGGTTTTATGGATATGGGGGTTCCTGTTTAATGGATGCTTGGAAAGAGATAACAATAGCTACTACAGAGTAGTCCAAGTTACCAAGAGAGCAGTATTGCGAAGCTTGACAAGAGCAGGGGGAGGAGGTAAAATTCAATAGAGAATCACATTGCTTGGTTTGTCTAGGGAAATGAGTAGTTTTATTTTAATTTTGGTCAAATTGGCTAGCAACAATTCCTCTCAATGCCCAACAAACTTTTAGGTGTTAGCTTCCCTCTCATATGATCAGCAAATTTTGGATAATTTTATTGCTTTCTCTTTTAATCTCAATTTTTTTGGTTAGCTTCTTTCTTTTCACATTTTTGCTCCTGACTCCATTTTGTTTAAGATTCTTTAATCTTTATGCACAAATCAAGTAAAGCACATTGTCTACAAAGTTAAATTTCTAATTGGGCTTTTAACCTTTCACTTTTTGCTTCAATGGGTTAATGAGATTTATTAAAATTGGCTCAACAAAAAGCTTACAAGTTCTAGGCACCCAGTGAGGATCAAACTTTCTACACTGTTAATGTTCTGTGAGTTTAGCTCTTTGCAAGAATTCTACCATCTATTGTCAGAATCTGATTTTTCTTTTTTCTCTTTTGTTTTCAGTACATTGGTCAGGTTGGTGCTGTCCATCGTGTAACTGATCGAAATGATGTGCGGGTGCATTATGAAGGATGTAGTAACAGATGGACTTTTCACCCAGGGGCATTAACTAAGGTCAGTTATTTTTTATTTTTTTTTTTTTTTAAAGATTTCTTTCTTTCTTTTCTTTTTAAATTATCAGCCTTTACTTTTTTGTTTTCTATTTAGAAATACTTTTTAACTGATTTTTAAAATGAGCAAATCTCTTTTTATCCTTTATATTTCAATAAATATCCTTTTTTCCATTTTATTCGTTTTTCAACATATATATTCATCTATTTGAAACATTACATTTTTTTTCTCCTTCACCAAAATTTGCTTACACTATTCTTATTGATTAATTGTCTTTTCTTTTTGCTGTATCTCTATAGAAATTTTGTATTTTGATTTTTAGGGACTTGTAATATATTTCCTGTGTTCTTTCTTCTGGTATAGATCCATTCATTTGCTGTAGGAGACATTGTCAAAATAATTGATGATGTTCACAAAGTGAAAGAATATCAAAAAGGACATGGCGAATGGACAGAGAGTATGAAGATGGTAGGTTGACTAGCGGCTTAAATTTCTGTAGTTCATCAAGTAATGTCTTTTACATAAACAAAGTAAACATCTGATAAAGGTACACTTTGTTATTTAATCAAATTTAGGAAGTGGATCAGGTTAAACACTTTTCAACATCTTTACATAATTAAAATAAACTTAGCTAAACTGTGAGCAGGTATTTTTTATTGGCAGTCTATGGCCATCTACTACACTTTTTTGAGCAAACCTGTCTACCAGGGTGGCGAGCAAATCCGCATTACAGATGTCTGCTCATCCTATGCAGTCCACCTGTGGTTTATACTGCAACTAAGCTGAACAGAACTTAGTTACAGTTTCTGGGAGAGAGAGCTGACACTCAACCCCTCAGCCACTATGACTTGTGACTTTGTGCTAGCATAACTACAAATGGCTTCCAAAACATTCTGTCTACCTAATTTCACTCACAAGGCATAGTATGGTTTTCAGGAACTTTCCAAAGGTGCTGGAATCTATCAAAGAGTTACCTTTCTAACAAATCGACCATAGGGAAATTTGAATGTGAGACCCATGGTCAGAAAGTAAACATTCTAACCACTCATCCATGTGCCCATATATCAGCAGTATCAAATTGATAAAAATATGAATTTGCTACTCATTATTGTTGCAATTTTGTTGTTTTTAATTGTGGTGAATTTGTCTCTCCATTAAATTAATAATAGAGATTACAGTATAAAATTATGTCGGTTCACCCTAAGTGTGCTACTGGTACCAAGTTCACCCTAAGTGTGCTACTGGTACCAAGTTCACCCTAAGTGTGCTACTGGTACCAAGTTCACCCTAAGTGTGCTACTGGTACCAAGTTCACCCTAAGTGTGCTACTGGTACCAAGTTCATCCTAAGTGTGCTACTGGTACCAAGTTCACCCTAAGTGTGACACAACTCTACCTGCCACATGGTCAGGTCATCTGTGAATAAACTGGTTCCTTCATCAGGCTTTTCTGGTGAGGAGGGTAGACCAGGCTACTATGTAGCTGTGTATACAACCAGTTTATACACTGAAATAATTCAGGGTGGAGGGTCCCCAGTGGAATCCCTGGCCATCTTTCTGTGACCAAGACAAGCCTTCAGGTTGGAGGATATTGGCTGTGATTTTACCTGGAAAGGTAAATGGGCTCTGCAGGTTCCCTTGCCCAAGACATTGACTCTATAAAAAGTAAAATCAATATGTAAATTGCAATAGGAATTTATGCAATTAATTTATGTTATGGAAGTATAACAAAATGAGTATCTTTTTCCATTTTGGAAAAAAATAATGAAATAATCTATTTTTGATAAAAGGTTTCTTCATGGATGCATATCATATTTTTAATTTCATATCCAGCTTCCATAATAATTTCACTAATTAGTCACACCAGTTTTAGGATTAAGGCAAAAACAGATTTTGAGAATTGTTTATTTTTTGAGGGGCTGGGGAGGGTGAGAAATTTAATCAATGTTTTGTTAATCCATTTAATTTTTTTATTTCTTAAATTGCCAGGCTTTGGGGAAAATTGGAAAAGTTCTACAGATTTATCCAGATGGGGATTTGTTTGTGTCTGTCAGTGGTAAAAGATGGACTTACAACCCAATGTGCTGTATAATTCCACCCCCAGGAGCAATGGATACAAACAATACATTGGCAACTAATGACAGGGATGATGATCCTGGTAAGCAATTGCTTTTTTTTTATTATTTTTTTTTTTTAATACTTTACTTAATATATAAAACTGTTTTCTTCTAAGGAAACATTCAATATTCATTTTCTGAGCAGCTGGTGCTACTTTCGGTTAAAATTTATAAAATCTTTGTATTAAAACAATTTGTTAGGAAATAGGCTTCTCAAATCCAGTAGCTGTTATTGCTCTTTTAAGGCTGCTTTTTTTTCTT